AAAATACAGCAAATAAAGACAGAATAAACCAAATAAATAACAAACAAAACAAATAAAGACAAAATAAAGCAAATAAAGCCAAAGTTTGTCGGATACTAACAGAAATAAGGTTTTGGGCCCTTTACATATAAGCCTTGTTGATCTAAACCCCGTGGATCTGACTCCCCGCAAACGGATAAGGACAAATGAAATGTATGAAACAAGTCGAATGCGAAATGCTCGGCAAGGCGCTCCGTGTTGTCCACAACCCTAACAGCTGGAGGCCAGGAACTGCAAGAAAAAGGCGAGGAGGCAGTGAGTGTACACAACCATGCCGGCCGCCTTGTTCCGATCTGCTCAAACGGAGCATGAGGAAACCCAGAGGTGGCATAGACCAACCTCTGCTTGACACTGTTAGCATACGTTCTCTGCAAACGCCCGGCCTTCGCCAAAAAAGGCCAATCTCCTACTGTCTTCAGGAGACACAGCCAGCGTCGCTCGCCCTGCCTATCTTCCACGCCCACGGTCTCCAAATATTTTGCATCATCATAGGCCGCGGACAACGCGTCATAGAAATGTTTGTCGCTTTCACCATAAGCTGCTCGAGGAAGTACTGCCGTGATAAATCGATTCGTAAAGGAATGTCCGACAAAGTTCAAGTTCATCTTCAAATACGATTTCCGGACCTTTTTGGTAGATGAATGCAACTCCTTGTCTGTCTTTCCCAAGGACTGAAGCGTGCCTCTTCCCAGGATTGAATGAAAACTCAAGATAAAAAATGCTTGGCGGCGACGGCCCCTCCTCTCCTCGCCATGAAGAAGGACCCCGACGGTCCTGCATAGATCTATTTTGTTCGCGTCAGCAGCTTGAAAGATGGGGTGTGAAGAAAAACTCAAGCAACAAGCTCGAAACTTAGCATTATCTATAGAGTCTTGATGCTATGTAACTAAGTTTAACTATGGACAATGCTTTCATAGAAAACACAAGAGCTGAAACTAAACTAGGGCCTACAGTGCTGCTGCTGGAAAGCGCCCGGGTTCGGGTCAATGCCCGAAAGGCAAATCATCTAAAGTTCGCCGCACGTCGATCTACCACTTACAAGTCGCTCCGCGCTTGTTTTCCCATCGATCACTATAGACATGCAGTGACCCGGCAATCCTAAGCCCATGGAACTTGAAACCATCCAGTCTACTTGCCCAGCTTTTTCATTGCATTTTCCATGCAACTTCTCAAAACATGTCTCATGGCATCGAGGTCCTTTGAGGAGTCGAGGGATTCCTCGTCGACGTAGCCGTCGTGCAACAGCCACTCGACGTCGTAGCCAAACAAGCTCGCGGTCTTCGCCGTGACGGTCGCCTTAACAGCCCAAGCGAGGGAGCCGGATCGGGAAAATTGCTGAAAAGGCTGCCAACTCCTTGTCCTTGCCCTTGCCCTTGACCTTCAGCAGGACACCTGTTGCCGGCTTTTTCCAATACAGTATTCGAGGCAATCCAAGTCGGCCTTCATGTCAACCTTGTACGATGACCAATCCTTATCTCCCCACTTCTTGGCGAAGTTCATGCGAGCTCCCTTGGCTCGCGGCAAACCCGTGTCGTCCTCAGGCTGAGCCCTCTTGGCTCCTTTGCCCTCGCACTTGGGCTTTTTCGCGGTGTCACCCACATCCATGACGGCCTTCGCGTTTGCTTTCGCCTTGGCCTTGCTCTTGGCCTTCGGGGCCGCGCCCGGCTTCGCTTTGGCCACGGCAGAACCCTTCTTGGGCCCGGCGAGGTCCTTGGAAGCATCAGCCTCGAGCTTCGGATGAAGTCGCACGAAGCAAGTCTCTCCTTCGCTTCGAAGGTGATCCTTCTTTGCCTTCTTAGAAGGAGTGCCCTTCTTGCGCCTTGGACCGCGCTTGTTGCGGCCTTTGATCCCAGCCCTCATCTTGAGCTGGTCCGCTCTCTTGAGAACAGGCTTGTCCACCTAGGAATCTGAACCCTATATAATTTATATAGAGATCCTATGTTAATCTTTACTTACTTACTTCGGGAACCCCTGCTACAAGTCGTCGATCAAAAACTCGATAGTTCAATGCGGCCTCAGAGTTGCTTTCGGTAAACCCGTCGGCTTCAGGCTGCTCATCGGCCGCTGCCACAACCGCGAAGTCTGCAGCTGCGCCGGCGATTACATCCTGGGCGCTCAGATCCTCGGGCGCACCTAGAGGGATGGGTGGCAACTCGCCCAGCTTCTCAGCCGGGGTATCAAGAAGCAAAGGCTCGATGGGCATCGCCATGATATCGAAGGGTTGGGTATCATCTGTAGCAGTCGAACTGAAGGATGTATGCCCAGACTACTAATGTCAACGAGGTGTGCTGGGGGAAAGGCTTTGTTCATGTTTCCGCCATGGGCTTGCGCAAAGGTCGAAAGGCGTGTTTATGTCACTTGCACTACGTATGTCGCGTGAAAACCGTATTCAAGGCTCGCCCCGTGCTTTCCGAGCGGTGCTTAAGGTGTCGTTGCTCCTTGTGGCATGACAACTTGCCGCGCATGTCTTTCTTGCCTCAAGCGGTTCCTGCGAAAGCTGGTAACCTCCTGCAAGCACAAACCCGCCCAAAAGTTGGATGTTGGGCTGGCATGTCAATGTTTGCTTCCGTCGTTGCAAGCTCTATCTCGCGACCGCAAACCTCCAGCACGACCGAACTCCTCGGGATTGTGGCCATACAGCCGTGGCACGCACACTCTCCTCTGTTCTTAAACATGCGCCGGACCCAGCACCAGATCGCTTCAATTTGACTGTGGTTTGACCGTCG